CATCAGAACAACAAGGCATCAGAAGGGGAAGCGAGGCAACAACTGTGGTGGCCATCGTTTGTTTCATAGACATGGAATTTCCATAAACTCGTGAAGAAGGGATGTCAGGTTCCCGAGTAAATATTTTTCTTCCTGATAGAGATTTATCCTTCGATTTTCGGAGTTGCCAATCTTGCACCGAGCGCACGGGCTGCGCCAACAGGGTTACGAGATTTCTGATCAATGGAAGGCCGGAAAGACATAGCGCTTGCAATATCATGATAGTGGAAATAAGCAGGCATGACGCACCGCATGTCTGCTGAATATTTGAGCGCGTCTACTAAGGGAAAAATGACAGCCGTCTCCTTCTTGTTTGGGAGCTCGAATGAGCGAGGCGTGCTTGCATCTCACAGCTGCAAATTGAGGCTCAGGGCAGCGGAAGGCTATGATATTTTCCATGTGTCCCGATTCAACATCGTCGGGATTTGTATATCAGGGAGGGACAAAACCTCCGATGCATCATGGTTCTGACGATTTGGTATGGCAATAGACATTATACAAGTACATGCCACCCTATTTCCTCCGAACATATCAGAAAAGTAAGTCAATTAAACTGATACGTACTGGCACGAATGGAGCTCACAGCTGCAATTTGGGCTCAGCATGCTATGCATCGCAAGGCTCGGGGAAATCGTCAAATAATAATCTGATGTCGAGAAGCGAACTATCGTAAATAAAGCAACGACCATTAAAATCGGAATTGATACTTATGGGTGTTATTGGCTGAGTGCGAATTACTGTGGGCGTGACATATCAGCGCCGCGTGACAGTCGGAGTTACGGACCCAATTTGGCAACTCCCGTATTCAGGGCAGAAAAAACCAAAAGTCAAGGTTAAGACGTTGAGGGAGCCAGTAACATGGCTACTCACGCACTTTTCGAGTCGGCATCCGGATATGCCATATTCGAGGTCAAATTTCTCGAAGATATCGGCGCAAAGTCGTTCGCTGTACAAGAGTCGATAAATGACCTGGCGAAGTTTGGAAAAATGGTTAACCTGTTGAGCTTTTTGCCGTTCAAAAGCGCGGCTCAGGCGTTGGAGAATGCTAATGACGTTTCCGAAGGTGATTGTCGCTAAAGGGTCGTGTATAGGTCTTGTGCTGATGAAGGTCTTGTTTCGGGTGCTAGGAATCGTCAATGACCATTTGAAAACATTACTTGAACTGAATCTTGCCAAAGCATCGAAAAAGTCATCCGTTACGCTCGCCGTTTCAGATACTGTGCTCGCAAGTGGTATCAAAAGTGCACTCAACATCAACTGTGATGTATCAGAGCGGGGTCAAGAGCTAATACGGGGTATTCGGCTACACGCCTCCAAATTGCTCAAGGGATTGCAGGCAGATGACCTCAAGAAGGCACAACTGGGTCTAGGACACTCCTACTCACGCGCCAAGCTCAAATTCAACGTCAACCGAGTCGACAACATGATTATTCAAGCTATCGCTCTCCTCGATCAGCTTGATAAAGATGTTAATCTTTTCTCGATGCGGATGCGCGAATGGTATGGCTACCACTTCCCCGAGCTCGTCAAACTTGTGCCCGACAACCAAATCTACGCCCGAGTGGTGCAATTCATTGGTGATAAGGAGACATTGAACGAGGACAAGCTACCCGACCTCGCCACCCTCGTCGAAGACAATTCCATACTTGCGCAAAACATACTGGACGCGGCTCGTGGCTCAATGGGCTCGTCATTATCTGAAATCGATATGCTCAACATCTCGTCCTTTGCGACTCGTGTCGCATCGTTGAGCGAGTACCGAAAGTCGCTCGTATCCTACCTGACTGAGAAGATGAATCAGGTCGCCCCCAGCTTGACGGCGCTGCTGGGAGAGCGTATCAGTGCACGATTGATCAGTCATGCGGGAAGCTTAACGAATCTGAGCAAGTATCCTGCTAGCACGGTACAGATACTCGGTGCAGAAAAAGCATTATTCAGAGCGTTGAAGACGAAGGGTAACACACCCAAGGTATGGTCGATCATTCGTTATTCTATTACCCAAAATTTATCAATTCCACGCAGTATGGTTTGCTATACCACTCGACCTTCATTGGTCGCGCTGGACCGAAGCATAAAGGGCGGATATCCCGTTTTTTGGCCAATAAATGTTCGATCGCGGCACGTATAGACTGTTACTCCGGTGAGCTCGCTCATTACCACACGCCATCAGACGGCCCCTAACACACATTTCTATAGACAACCCAACTCCCAAGTTCGGCGAAGCACTCCGCTCACAGGTAGAACAACGACTGCTGTTCTTTGAAAAGGGCGAGCCACCAACTAAGAATGCGGAAGTAATGCAGAAAGTGCTAGAAGAACTTGCTCTGGAGCGAGGAGAGGATGGAGATGTAGATATGGATGAAGAACCGGCAGAACCAGCGCTGACAACGTTAGAGCCAAGTCCACCCCCAAAGAAGGAAAAGAAAAAAAAGCGGAAGGTCGATGATATGGATGTGGATGAGGAGGAGGATGAGGAGCCTAAGTCGAAGAAGGCCAAGCTGTCCAAGGAGGAGAAGAAGGCACTGAAGAAGGCCAAAAAAGAGAAGGAGAAGGCTGAGGCTGCGGAGGTGAGTAAACGTGATCCTGGTGTCTACTTAAGCTAAGAACGGTATCGTAGGCCGAGTCACCCAAGAAGGAAAAGAAAGACAAAAAAGACAAGGACAAAGACAAGAAAGAGAAAAAAGAGAAAAAAGAGAAGAAGGAAAAGAAGGGAAAAAAGGCAGATTGATCCACCCCTTTTACTGCTAGTATCTTCCTCTCATGATTGTCGCTGGATCCTGTAAACCTTATTCACGCACTCGACTTGGAAATTCCGTTCTGCTCGCAAGAACTCTCCAAGTCACCTCGAATCCATCCATTATCGTTGTAGTAATCTACTTTTTGGCATTGAGCTTCGCGACGCTCGCCTCGCTCCTCATACGGCCTTTCTTTTTCTTCGGCTCGCTCTTTGCACTCTTCCTAACCCTAACCCGCTTCTTGCCATCACCGCTTGCCTGATCATTGTCCTTCGTCGTCCCCATCGCCATCCTCGCCTTCTTTTTCGCCAATCTCCGCGCAACGCGGTCTGCGTCTGCGGCTTTTGCCCGTTTACGCTCATCTTTAGACAAATGGGCCAACTTATCTCCGAGTTTAGGATTGCCCTTTGGCACGATGATGGGTTTGGGCGGTTGAACTGGTTGACTTTGCTTGTTGGCCTTTGTAGTTTGCTGGGTTGGTTGTGATTTAGATTTCGACTGTGACTGCGCTTTTGCCTTGTTAGTCTTGTGGGTCTCCGCAGTGAGCTGCTTTGTGGGTAAAGACGATCCGGGTATCGTTTTGCATCTCTGAACCCGTAGCTTGCGCTTGGCAAATTTGAGTTTGCCCGCTTCCAGAGCGAGAATTTCATCCACGCATTCTCGATCCTGTAAAGTGCGTTCAGCTCGAGGATCATTGAAAACATCGAAATGGACGAACCGCAAACTGGACGTATGCAAATCCTTTTCCGAGTTGGGTCTCTCGGTCTCTGACAATCCTCACACGAGTGACCCACGCCCGCTCCTTCTTTACTGAACGATTCTTTTCTCCTTCCTCATCCCCTTCGTCTTCTTCGTCCTCCGACCTTGGCGGAGCTTCTCCTCTCTCTTTCGACACCACACCCTCAAAGAATACTCTTAGATCTTCCTCTTTAGACGCAAAATCCAGGTTTCCGACAAATATGGTCAATTTGGGGTTTGCATCTGGATCTCCTGTGGATGATTTACTAACAACATCGACGCGAAGAAGACGGTCCATAAAAGTCGTGCCGTCGCACTGGTGCGCAGCAGTTTGGGCCGCTTCATAGGGGTCTAATACCTCTTTGCGCAGTTTAGGTTCTGGTGTGGTGGAAGAGGATGGCAGGGAAGGGAAGACCGAAGCAGGATGGGCAAAAACGACGTAAGCGTGTACTGTGTCGGCTACAGAATGGAATTCTTGGTGGATGAATGCGATTTTCTTCTTTTGGTTTGGAGTGAGGAATCTCTTCTCGTCCTTGTTTTCGTTGGTGTCTTTGTCGGCTTGGGAATGACGCCATGTAGCTGCGCGGGCTTTGTCATGTTCTCGTCCTTCTTTTCCCTGATGTTTGTTGGAAGACGAGGTTTCGTCGCCCGTTGTTGTAAGATCAACTGCAGGATCCTTGAATGGGACCGAACGGAACCGAATAGATTCAATTTTTGCGGTGGGCACTGCACAAAGGAGGTGCCTTCGTAGTTGCTTTTGAAGGGGCTATGAGGACGAGTTAGTGAGGGTTAGCATTGGCAATAATGAATACGCACTCGCTTCTTGACAACTTCAACGCTCAAGTTCCCGACAAAGATGGTCCGAAGGTCCCTTTGTTCCGACGTCTCGTCCGGAGGAACGTATTTCTTCTTGGAAGAGGCTTTGCGTGATTTCTCTTTAGGTTTCAAGAGAGATTCGTGAACAATTTTACTGGGGTCGAATGAATCGTCTTCATCGTCACTGGAAGCGCGTCCATCTTCTTCGTTTTCTGATGAACTCCCCTGCTCTGACTCGGATTCGTCGCTTTCTGATTCATCTGCTGAACGCGTATCTTCTTCCTCATTTGTCTTCGTCAGAACAGTTTGAGTCTCCTTCTTTGCCTTCTTGCCAGCTACGCCTGTTGAACTCTCCTTTGCTTCTGATTCAAGCTTCCGCTTTTTGCTAGTCACATTCTGAGCTTTGACATCTGCCCTGAGCGGCGCAGTGTGCACCTATCGGTATCTCATAAGTTTTAAATTGAAAGATTACATATTTTCGCTCGCCTTTGATTTGAAAAGATTGTCCAACTCGGAGTCCACGGCCTGCACATCTTGCGCTTTTGGTAATAAGAATGAAGAGAGACTCATGGGTGGGTATACCGTATAACGCCGTAAATTGCAACTTGGCGTTTTGCAGTGTGTCCCTGGGTGTTGCGAGATTCGAACGTCGACCCTGCAATGTACAAACATGGGCGTTTAGCGCAGTGGTAGCGCGTATGCTTTGCAGGCCCTGCAGTAAAAGCGCAGATCCTTACTTGTATAAGGTCCAGGGTTCAATCCCCTGAACGTCCAACCTTTTTTTTCGTCACGCACGTATATTTATAAGGTTGAATCACACAGTCGGCAAGTATGAATGGAATTGATACCGAGGTAGAATTGTTCGGAGCAGGAGGCCAAGCTTCTCAACTTCTCTTAATCATGTCCCGGTGTTATTAGAAGAGTAATAATTAAAACGATTTTCGATATTTAGAACTTCATTCCGTAGTGTACGGATGTAGCGGATTTGCCAGCTATTACTTAAACTTACGCCTGCTGTCAGGCTACACATCCTGCAATGTACGTGATCTTCTCAATTGTTTTGTCTTGAATCGCTCATCGATACGCTTCAGATGGCAGAAATTGATAAGCGACATGGAATGGAAAGTACACGTGGCCGAGTTGGACCTGAAACGGACGACAGCCATGCTGCCTCGTTTATGACACATCCTTTGTCACTTTTGAATGCCTGGATGCCTCTCCATCCTTTTCCCAGTGCTTCGACAGAACCGTAACGAACGCAGGGAAAAAACCACCTCTCTTACCCAGGATCTTATGCAGCATCATCAAGAACTTCGCCCGGATAATGCCAGTGGTAATTTTGATACTTTTCTCCGCAGCTTCATTTACACTTATCTTCCCTTTCAGAGCAAGGTGCACCTTATCCTATTCTTATCAGAGGTCATTCCCTCCGGAAATCGCGCGTACCCCCAAGTGCTACAAGTCAGTTGGATGAAAACTTTGACGCTATCTCGCAAGACGGCACGACAACCGCGCGCACTCCCCCCCGGCGTCGCGATTGGGAAACCGAACGGACTTCCTCCCCTTTGGATGAAGATTTTGATCTAATGACATCCAGTGCTGGAGCAACGACTGCGCGCGGGTCAATATACAGCGATCCCCGACCACTCCCACCAGAGGGAAGTTATAGATACATGCCCGAACGTTCGCGCGTCTATAGTCCAGACGGAAACAAGATCGGTAACTCCGGGCCCGGGACTCAAGGACCAAGTCGTCATAGTACCATAACGCGGTCGACGAGTAAGCACGGGCGCCATGGCTCAGGCTCAGGTCCACAGTTTGAGGTGGTGAAGAGCCAAGTCGTCGAAGATGGTCCTGAGCGCACAGTCACTGTTTCTCTATGGAAGGAACAGGTTGCAAAATCTATTGGCCCAAACGGCGAGACAATGAGTGTGCACTACTACAGCGCAGAGGAGGTTCTTCCGAATACGATGTACACGAATGAAACTCGAGGAAGAAGAGATGAGTACACACCGTCTGAGGTTAGTCACTCATAGCCAACAGAATTACTGTTCTTTGCTAACATCAAGTCATGCAGGCTGGCGATACTCGACCAGTTCGGGATATCCCGTCGTCTCCTCGAGATATAACGCCCAGTGAACGAAATTACCGTCACCGCAGTCCTCAGTCTCCTGGACCAAGTTTGACGGGGAACCGAAGTGACATATATTATGGACAGTCGCCTCCTCGAATTTCAACTCCTATGAGGCCTATGGGGGGCGCTCAATCTTCTACACCATCCTATTCTCCTCAACCTGCTTCTCCATCATCAAAAGACAATTCTCCTGGCCGGATAGGAGCCCAACATCATGGTGGGCCAGACAACAGTATAAGCACCATCAAATCGCTTCCAACCATTGAAATGGAGAAAATTCTCGACTCGTGTGAACCTTCTCTGGTACACATCGCGCCTATTCTTGCTTGTCTTGGTATAACCAGAGAGGAACATTTACGCGCGATTATCAGGTTGTCGGAAGAAACGAGGGACAAGGAAGTCAAAGAGGAGGCATTAAGACTCGGCATGACAGTGATGGAGTGGGCGATTCTGTTGGATAAACTTCACTCTTTGTGAAGTAGGTTTATCGTAGTACGCTCGTGCGGCGTGAATGTACTATACTCATGTTTCTGTCGCGCAATAATACGGACTGAGTTGTGGCTCGCAAATTCACGTGACAGCGCGTCTTTGTCGCGTAGGTCCAAGTTTGTTCCTTTCAGCATCCTCAAGGTAACAGCAAAGAAGAATTGGAGAAGCTCTCAGAAATGTCTAGCGATCCGGCGTCACCTGAGCGGCAGGCTCAAGTCAAAACTGCCAGCGGCTCGGATCATAGTACACCAGGTTACGAACGCCGAACGGGTATATTCCTCCAGGACGCGTGCTTCCTGCATCGATTCATCAGGTCAAGGATAACATCTGGCATAGTCGAGCGTCCAGAACGCTTAAGAGCCGTAATGGTTGGCTTGTCCGCTACGATAGCACGTTTGGAGGATGCGCTGCTTAGCGGGAATGGCAGTAGCGCGAACAAAGTTAACGTAACCGATGGATCATCCGCCGTCAACCCCTTCGCTTCTCAATCTGATTTCATTGAAGCCAAAATCTGACGTCGGGACGGAAGAACTCGAGGCCGCTATGGGTCGCATCACTATAAATCAACCGACGGCTCAACAACTTTCAATAAGCCCAGCTGTTCCTATTACGATCATCCAGAGTCAAGCATCTCTTGATCTCTTGAAACATCCAGCTGTCAAATATGTCCATGGGGACATCGACAAGGACGTTTATCTCGAGAATCTCGTTCGATGGATGCGAGAAAGCTCTGATAAGATAGCCAACGGAGAGTCTGAAATTCCCAAGGAACTGTCTCAGGGTGATTTATATCGTCAGTTTTATCTCAAGTTGCTTTCTATGAATGATATTAACATGTAATTCTATTAGTCTGTCCACAATCTTTGGATGCGGTTCAAGGTGCGCTCGGGACAGTGTGCGAGGCTGTTGATCGAGTCATGACATCCGTTGGGCACACCCGCAAAAGCCAAGCAGAAAGTTCGCCAACTCTGAACATTCAGCGTGCTTTTGTTGCGATCCGCCCGCCGGGCCACCATTGCGGCGAGGATACACCCTCGGGATTTTGCTTTGTTAATAATGTTGCAGTCGCGGCTGCTCATGGTTAGTGCAATCTCCTTCATGCGAAATGTGGAGTAATTTACTCGTTCCCTTTAGCGCACCAAAAATACGGCGTCCAACGGATCGTGATTTTTGACATTGATCTTCACCATGGTATGTTGCTAGATCTCCCCGAATAGTCGCTTGTCTGACGACATACATGTCCAGGAAATGGCACACAGTCCATCATTTGGCAAATAAATGAAGAGACATACCGCCAAACGCTCGAGAAAGAGGCGGGTGGCATTGTTTCGAAAACAGGACCGCAGATATATTATGGTTCGATTCATGATATATTGTCTTTTCCATGCGAAGTCAGCCTCTTAAGTTCATTAGCGTGGAAATGCTCATTCACTACATAGGACGGAAAAGTCGAACTCGTCCAAGCAGCCTCTGCTTCAATTCACAAAGCTCACGGGCAGTACATCGAGAATATACATCTGGAGCCTTATTCTTCAGAAGATCAGTTTTGGGAAGTACTGTACAATCATAAATACCGCGGGCTGCTCAAGAAGGCCGAAGAATTCCTCGCTGATACCGGCGGACCCGGGAATGATGTGTTGGTTTTCATCAGGTCCGTTTCTTCTCCTGCTCCGTTCTCGGAGGCTAAGTCGGCAGAGTAGTTGTGGAATGGATGCTTGCGAACACGAATATGAATCCATGTCTCGCCATGGGCGCAAAGTTCCGGTTTCCTTCTACCACCAATTCACACGCGATGCGTGCGCATTTAGCGACCGGTTCGCCGATGGGAGGATCATCAGCGTACTCGAGGGAGGTTACAGCGATCGAGCATTGATCAGCGGGACGATGGCGCATATATCTGGGCTCGTGACCGCACATAATCACAACATGGATGATAAGGTGAACAGAACTTGGTGGGACGTCGATAATCTGGCAAAGGTCAGTCCAATCTGTCATCATATTGATCACGTCACAAATTGCATTACATCACTCGATAGTTGGAAAAGGCGACTAAACAGCGTAAAGGCCCTGGGGGTAGAAAATCTCTGCAGAGCCAGGAAGCAACGGAAAAGTGGCTGCAGCGCACGGTAGAGATCTTGTCTTTTGTGGATACTGGGGCAGCTATTCGACCGGCAGAGTCTAGAAGGTCTAGTGAACCGCCCTCGATGACATTGCGCGATCGAGGTAAGAAGGGGAAAGACACGACGGCTTCGTCTCCCCCTCGCGCGAGCCAGTCTACCTGGGGAAGAAATGGAGGGAAGCAAAGGTCTGCGAAGATGCCTGAATCTGTGTCCCTTCCTGCTGGAAATCCGAGGGGAAATGAAGGCGAATTAAATGAGCAAGGACAGGCGAAGAAGCTGCCACGCGTAATTTTGCGTCTAAAACCTGAGACGTAATCTCGAGGGCGTCATTCGGTTGATACCCTCATCGTGATACCCACTGAATTATTTGTATATTGGAAAACTTATCAAGCATGATAATACATGGAGGAGGACATTGATGTTATGCCCTTACTCATCTGCGACTACGATTACAACTTTCGCCTTGTTCTGTCCTTTCTGGAGAGCCAAAAAAGCGTCTGCTACTTTGTCAAGTCCCCTATGAACCTCTTCGCCATATTTCAGCTCTCCCTTGACAAGGTGAGGGATCACGAAGTCTTGATGATCATTCCTCCACTTGGGTCCAAGGTTTGATGCATTGAACCCCGACAAAGTGATTGACTTTGGGATTATTTGGACCAGGTTCTGCAACGAAATAAGCAAAATGCACAACATGTGAACGACGAGCGACGAATTACCCGAACGGAAAAGTTGCCATTGGCATATCCTAAGGGAGTTGTCTAGTTTACATGTTTTCTTTCTAACGATTTAACATACCTGATACCATGCCGCATTCCTTTGCCGCAAGTGAAGATTAGAACTTCATTGATGAGATAACGATCAATGGACAAACGTACAAGGAGTCGAGCACCAACATTGGCGTTATCAATTGCCGCTTCCAGAGTTTCGCCGCCTACATTATCCCAGAAGCTGTGTTATCGATATATCAAAGAGTCTTCGTGAAACATCAAGCTATCACGCACATATCGATAGGTCCTTCCTTTTTCAGGACT